GATCCACTCTCCTCTTTCCCTTGCCTGTGGCCTCGCCGTCGGACAGCTCTGTCCCCTCCGCTCGCCACGGCTCCGGTTTTGTCCTGAGAGCTCCTGTGCTTCCTGCCTGGGTGATTCCATCTAGTCTCAGAATATTATGTGGCACACCAGCTGATGGGTAATTCTCAAATATATTGCTCTGACCAGAGCTCTCATCTGACTTCCACACTTAGACATCTGACTGCCTATTTGGCATCTTCATTTGGATTTCCTACAGGAATCCCAAACATACCATGACAATAAATAAGTTGATAGCTCACACCATCCCTTCCCCGCCCCGTTGAAGCCCCTGCTGTTTTTACTATTGACTCTAAGTTTATTTTATTTCAAGATGCTATTTCAATGACTGCATCTCTTTTTAAAGAAATAACATATATAAAAATAAACATTTAAGTATATATATGTAACGAATGAAAAATAAATAACACTCCTTTAAACAGCCCACAAGTTAAACAAGAAATCAAAAGGGAAACTAGAAAGTATTCTGAACTGAACAAAAAATAAAAACATCAGCTTGACAGCAAGAAGCGGCTCATCTCCTCTCATCCCCCTCCCCCACCTCTCCTCCAACCCTGTTCCTCTCCACCCTAATCAGAGGCTCACAGGGATCTGCAATCCCCTGACTTGAGTAAACAATATTAAAGTAGTACTTTTTAAAACTCCAAAGCATATCAAAATGTGTGCGATGTAGAGGCCATGCTGTGGCATAGCATGTCAAACTGCCTGTTGAGATAGCAGCATCCCATGGGAGCACCGTTTGGGTCCCGCCTTGCCCACTCCCAGTCCATCTTCCTGTGCACGTGCCTCAGAAAACAACACATGATGCCCCAAATGTTTGGGCTCCTGCCCCCCACACGGGAGACTGGGCTGGGCCTTCTGACTCTGGCTTCAGGCTGGCCAGCACTGACCATGGCAATCATTTGGGGAGTGAAGCAGTGGATGGAAGAGCTCTCTTTGTCCCTCCCTCTCTCTGTTTTTCAAATAAGTAATATATATTTTTTTAATGTATAAATCATTCAATAGATCTTGGTTATCCAAACTCTATTGCAAATAGTGGCAACTCAACCAAAAATCTCTCCTCAGGTGTGGAAGATTTAATGTGTGATTGGGTTGGGTGCCAGTAAATTGCATATTGTAATTATTAATAATAATTTCGATCCTTTAAGTTTACCCATGTATTTCTTTATATTTTTACTTTTAAACTTAACACATATATCTCATATTTGTGTTTTCCCTTTTTATTGTGGAAACTTTAAAATAACAGAGTAAAGTAGTGCAACGAATCTCCATAAACCTGTCTTTAGTTTCAACAAGTCAATTTCTAATCAATTAAATTTCATCTAAATTCCCACTCCTCCACTTGCATATTATTTCGAACAGAATCTTGGGCATTGTATTATTTCATCCATAAATGTTTCAGTATGTGCTCCAAAGACACAAAGCTTCTAAAAATAAATTGTTGGACCTGGTGTGATGGCTCAGTGGCTAAATCCTCACCTTGCAAGCACCGGGCTCTTGTATGGATGTTGGTTCATGTCCCAGCTGCTCCATTTCCCATCCAGCTCCCTGCTCGTGACCTGGGAAAGCAGTAGAGGACAGCCCACAGCCTTGGGACTCTGCACCTGTGTGGGAGACTCAGAGAAAGCTCCTGGCTTCCGATTGACTCAGCTCTGGCCATTGCTGCCATTTGGGGTGTGAACCAATGAATGGAAGATCTATCTTCTCTGTAAATCTGATCCAGCTTTCCAATAAAAATAAATAAATCTCTTTTTAAAAAAGGTACTTAAAAAATGTTCTATTTTTTTTTTCTTCCTGTATTCCAAGAGAAGGAGGCCAACGTGTTGGACAGAATCTGACACAGACAATTCTTTCCATGGGACAAAACAATCCGAACATGTCTGTCAATTTTTTTTTAAGATTTATTTATTTATTGGACAGTCAGATATACAGAGAGGAGGAGAGACAGAGAGGAAGATCTTCCGTCCGATGATTCACTCCCCAAGTGACTGCAATGGCCGATGCTATGCCGATCCGAAGCCAGGATCCAGGAACTTCTTTCTGGATACCCCACACATGTTCAGGGTCCCAAAGCTTTGGGCCATCCTCGACTGCTTTCCCAGGCCACAAGCAGGGAGCTAGATGGGAAGTGGAGCTGCTGGGATTAGAACCGGCACCCATATGGGATCCCGGGGCGTGCAAGGCGAGGACTTTAGCTGCTAGGCCAATGTGCCGGGTCCATGTCCGTCAAGTGTTAATTCTGTCTTTCAATAGGTTATGAATGCTGTGGCTGAATTCAATTCTAAGCCATGGTTGAGGAACACATGAGACCCACACCACCCTAACACAAGCCATCACGTGTTTAAGACAAAGAACTACCTTGCCAGCTTGCCCCAGCGTCTCCCAGTTGTGTCTGCACAGGTTCCCAAGGATTAGCCTCGGGTACCTTGCTCAGAGTGGACGGTAGGGTTCTGCAGGCCAAAGATTGTACAGGAGCCTTCCGGCTCAGGGCTTGGGCTAGTTTCATCTGCAGATCTGACCCTGCAGCAACATTTTATTGAGTGCTCTGATAGCTGATTAACAAATCAGTCTCCACAGCAGCCAGAACAAATGGCCACCAACCAGGCGGCTTCAAACAACAGAAATGAGTTGTGTGGGTTCCAGGGCCAGGAGTCTGCCACCCAGGCACCCCCAGGGCCATGCTGCCTGCTCACGGCTCAGCAAAAGGATCCTGCTTTGTCTCTTCCAACGTCAAGGGGACCCCTGGTTTGACGTCACTTCTCTTAACTGACCCCATTTCCTTACAACATCACGTTCTGAGAGGGAGAGGATCTCAGTATGTCCTTCTGAGAGAGACACAATTTAATCCCTGACAGTTGAGAATAATTTACTGTTCCGGCACAGCCTGGGTGCTGCCCGTGATCAGAGTTCTTCGCTGAGGCAACTTCCTCTCTCCCCTACTGACTGTGTGTGAGGACTCAGAGCTGGCATCTTAGCCCTCTGGTGGGAGTGCTCCCTGCAACATCATAGCTTGGGGTCCTGGTCAGACCTGCGCCTCCTCTCAGAGGGCAGGATTTGCTTTTGGCTTTTGTCCTCAATTCCCTGCTGAGAAACTTCAATATATTCAAATGAGGGGCAGGTGTTTGTACATTTGTTACAACAATTGTGTTTTGAGTCTGGCTCTTTGGCTTATCCATAGCTTCCAGCGATCCTGGGAGGCAGCAGGGGATGGGTCAAACACTCAGGGGTCAGCCAACCATGTGAGAAAACCAAGCTTGAGCTCTGGGCTCTGGCCTTCTGTCTGGCCCAGCCCCGACTGCTGCTGGAGGTATCTGATCAGTGGTGAAATGAGACCTGTCTCTCTACCTTCAAATAAATTCCAAAAAGACTCTTTTAATAGATTTTTAAACATTAAAGACAGTGTATATTTTCACTAAGACAAACCATAGCATTTCAAAGATATTTTAAAGTTGGTTGTCTTTGAGACATCAACTTGCAGAAGGCTAAGGATGCAAATGTATACCTTCCTGAGTTTTGGGGGAGCGGGGAGGAGTTTTGGAGGAGCACAAGCTTAGGCCTAGTGTTCCAACTCAACACGAGATCTTCAATCAGCAGCCCAGGGCGCGTCCAAGCTTCCTCCTGTTTCTGCCCAGCCCACCCTCGTTGGGAAACAGGGCTGTCTCATCAGCTCTCCGTATCTGCAGCCTTGGCCAGGGATCCGGGCGCAGGTTCGGAGGGCTCAGGGCACCTGCTGATGTGGCTGAAGTCTTCAACGGCACCCTCACTTTCTCCAGTCTTTTCTCCTGTATTTCCAGGCTTGAAGCCTACTGAGTCGGTTTGCCTTCCAGCGCTCCACTGAGCTGCCCCAACTAGATCCCTCTCTGAGACAAGTGACTCTTGTCCACGGACATTTTTGTTGAATATAACGCCAACGTTTGGGAGACAGGAGCGGCAGTCCACCCGGCATGCTCTCCTGTCCTCCCCCACGTTCCTGAATGTGACCGAATTCCACGTTTTCCTCAGGGACCAGCCACCACGTGGGCACAGGCGCCATCTCCCGTGAGACGAGCTGGGGAACCCGCGTATCAAAGGATGTCACACCAGAACCCGTGAGGCTCGCACCGGCTTTAATGAAATTCTTGACATTTTGAATTAACGTGGCTTCCATTCTTCCCACAGTCCTTAAACCACGGGTGACAATTAATCAACACCTACACCCCCAGACCCAGAATTGGAAACGCTAATATAGTTAGACTATTAAAAGGAAAAAAAAAAAAGGATGAAGCACGAAGCAGACGTCGGGCAACCCACAACCCACACACATCCCGCCATCGCCACGCACTTTGAGCCTTTTTAGGGCTCCGCGAGAGCGAGTCCGCCAAAGGGCTCCACGTTCCTCCAATCACGGCGCTTCCCGCCACTCGCCCCGCCCCGCGCTGCCCTCGGCCAATAGCTGCGGCGCTATCGTCTGTTTCTCCGCCCACTGCCCGCCCGTCGCCAGTTCGAAGCCTTCGAACCCCGCCAGCGCCCCGAAGCCGCAGCTTCGCAGGGATATATTTTTAGCACCCCGGGCGCGTCGTCCCGCCTCTGGTCCCGCCTCCTCGTTGTCTTTCCCCAATGGGAGACGGAGTTTCCGCCGCGTCATCGCACGGGCGGGCGGAAAACGCCCAATCAACGTCCGGAGAGAATTGGCGTAATTAAAAAGCGGCGGCGGAAGGAGGTGGGAGGGTCATGACGCAGCGAGTTTTGAGTCCTGACTTTTCCGGGAGCCTGTCGGCGTTGGCCTTTTTTTCCCTTTAAAGTACAGCGTGGTCGCGACGCGTCGTGCGCGCCCTCCGGGGGGCGGCGGCGGCGGGAGGAGCGGCGCTGACGCGGGCCCCGGGAAAGGGGGCCGGCCGCGGCGCGCGGTCACGTGGGCGTGTTGTGGGGGGAGGGGCGGCGTCGCGCGGTCGGTTCCGGGCGGTTGGAGCGCGCGAGCGAGCGAACGAACGAACGAACGCGAGCAGCCGCGCCCGCCGCCGCCGCCGGGCCTGCCCTGTATGCCGCTGTCGCCCGGCGCGGCCTCCGCCGATCGCCCTCAGCAGTAGCAGAAGCAGCAGCCGCCGCGGGAAGCGTCGCCGCCGCGGTGGATGTGGTTGGGCCGGGGCTGAGGAGGCCGCCAAGATGCCGCAGTCCAAGTCCCGGAAGATCGCGATCCTGGGCTACCGGTCTGTGGGTAAGTGGGCCCGCGCCGCTCGGCTGGGGGAGGACCTCGGCCCGGCTCATGGCCGAGCCGACCAAGTTTTTAGAGGCGGCGCGGCCATGTGCCGGGCGGCCCGGGCGGGAGCCAGAGCGGGCGGCCGCCGCGTTTCGTAACCACCATTTTGAGCAGAGGTGGCGGCGGCGGCAGCGGTCGGGGCGGCGACGGCGCCGGGCCGGGAGGAGGTGCGGCCGGAGCTGTCTGGGGGTGCTGGGGAGCGCCCCCCCAAGCCGGATCTGGGGCGGGGGGGGGGAAGGCGGCGGGAGCGGCCGGGACCGCCCGTCCTAGGTGGACGTCGCACCTGTCTCGGTCCACCTGCAGCCGCGACCTCCCGTCACCCCCACCGCCTTAAAATCACCCGGTGGGATCTTGACAAAGGAAACCGGCGCCCCTCGGTGAAGTTCAGCGTCTGAAACAGAGCCGGAGTTGGGCTGAGGGGTGCCGAGGGCGAGTTTCCCACCGCCGAGACCCAGGGACGCCCCCTCCCCCTTCCTGAGAGCCTGAAAGTGCTCCACATCCTGCCCGGGGCCAAAACAGGGAGAGAGCATGTTCTCATCTCTCAGTGCCCTATTTTTCTTAGTGAAAAAAAATATAATAATAAGGTCGGGAACCTGTATTCAGGCTGTCGGAGTCCTTCGAAAGTCTTCTTTTTTCTCCCTCAAAAAGATGACCCACGTGTGAAAGTGTCTCTGGCCGTGTCTGCTTTGCTGGGACTTGGGGGGCTGGCGCCTGGAGTGTCCGAAAAGGAGTGACAGCGCTGGGACTTGGCGGGCAGGGGTGGGGATCTGGACTGGAGTGAACGGGTTCTTGGTTTGCTTCCCTGCGTGTGTGTGCCCTCCGACTCCCCCGCTTCCCACCGCCGGTGCCAGGGCCCGTGTGCTCGGACCCAGAACCAGCTGCGGCGCGCTTCCTCATGCGCTCCCCTTCTCGGGGTCCGGGGCGCTGCAGCCCCCCCGCCCCCCGAAAGTTGGCTGGTGACAGCCCTGGAGGAACCCGGCAGCAGGCTGAGGGCTTTCTGGCAGGTGCCGCTGTGAACCTGCCAGCTGGCCTTTATTGGCTGGCTTCTCTGGGCTTCCTTGGCACCTGGAAGAGAGGGTCCGGGGCAGGCCCTGGCTGCCGAGTGCCCTCGGACGAGATAGGCAAATGGTAACTAAGAGAGAAGAGAGTGACCAGCACCTGGGCTACCTGGTTTCAGGCCAAGGAAAAGGCCTGCGGATTGTGGCTTTATTTGCACCTTGACAGTGTAGAAACAGTGATTCCGGTTTCAGTGAGCAAGCCCAGGCTCTGAGCACCGTTTGACTGACAGTGCTAACTTGGCCTCCGTGGGGATGCGGAAGAACCTCGGTCCTGGTTTTCTGTGTCCGCAGTCTACTCCATTTTCTCCAGCGCGGCGGGATGAAAGTACAGGAGAAGTTCGATTGTTTCCGGTTGTAGGTTTACCTTTATTATGAGCCAGGCTGTTTGGTAGTTGGTGGGGTCTTTGTAGGGAGGAAGGCTGACCTTCTGCCACCATGGTTCTGGTCACTCTTGTCACAGTTCTTCAGTGCTCCCACCTCTGGTCAACCTAAGCTGTCTGCAAACGGTGTTGTACTTGAGAAGTTTGGTTAGATGTGTCTGATGTTTTGTCACACTAAGCTGTTATCATTGACTGGGACTAAAGGATTGCAGGGAATGGCTAAGCTAAAAACCATGGTTTTTAAAATGTTCCCTTGGTTAAATATTTCATTGTGATTCCGAATACTTGGCATTGTGACTTAATTATTATGGACTTGGTTATTACACAATATAGCATTAACACTGTTGTAGTAACACTTGGTTTTGAAATTTTGGAGGGTTTTTGGAAAAAAATGATAAAAATCTGGATAATATAACTCGGATAGTTTATGCAACAACCCCCACCCTTACCACCACCACCTATTTTATCTTATTTGTTATTTTCCCCCCTTCTCCCCCTACCCCCGTATTTTGTCTTGGCATTTGCGATATTGAAGGTTCTAAGCACGCAGCCCCTGTAACGCAGTCTGACTGAAGGAGTGCCTTGCGTTGCTCCAGTTGTGGCCAAACGCACCAGCTCATTCCCATTCCACAATTCGCGCCCCCGTAGGGGTCGCTAAATCCAAGTGAACTGGAGGTGTAGTGTCCCCAAATTATCTTCAGTCTAGAACATCTTTCACTGGAATTTCACAAAGAGTTTGTTAAACTCCTTTCCCATTAGACTATAATCGGGAGCTTATCATTTGCACCTCTTACATGGGGTTGATAAGAGGATGGCAACATAGGAATCCAGGAGACTATAAGGGGAAATGAAACAATTGTGTGGTTTAGTGAAAGGCAATTCAGTGAAAGTACTAGAATTATTATCTTGCTAGAATACCATGGGGTGCGATCAGAGCTTTATTTGTCATTAGGGCTTTCCATGGCTAAATGCTACTTTAATTTCCATCACAACCTTATCCGTACTGAGCGTCATCCCCAAAGAAACCCTGCTCAGGAGCCCGCCTTCCAGTCTTTCCTTTCTCTTCAGCCTCTGGCAGCCACTCCTGGATTTTCTGTTGATTTGCATTTACTGATGCTGGGTGTTTTATGTAAAAGGGAGTCACGCTCATGTGAGCTCATGTGATCGTTTGTGCTGGGTGGCTTTACCTTGGTGAAATGGCTTCCAGTTTCATCCATGATGTAGCATGTGTCGTTATTTTGTTCCTGTTTATGACTGAGTAATATTCTGCTATGTGAGTGTGCCACATTTTTTTTTATGTATTTGCCAGTTGGATATTGGGTGACTTCTACTTTTTGGCTATTATGAATCACTACAAGCATGCTTGCTCAGGCTTCCGTGTGGACATGGATTTCCGTTTCCCTTGAATATTGCTAGGAGTGAAATTGTTGGGTCGATGACAACATCTCGAGGTTGAGGAACAATCAGACCATTTCCCAGAGCAGTTGAGCCTTTTTTCTTTTTTCAGGTTGATTTTATTTGAAAGGGAGAGTTAGGAAAAAGATAAAGAGGTCTTCCATCTGCTTGGTTCACCTCTCAGATAACTAGCTAAATGGAAGCCAGGAGTAAGCGTAGGGTTCCGTCTCCCGAGCTGACACGTTAACAGTGTGCTGGCTAGGCCTGCACTCTCAGGCTGCGCTGTCCTCCCTGGCGTCGGCTCACCCCACTGTGCTGTAGCGCTGGTCCCACAGCAGCAGGCTCATTTCACATTCCCACTGACAACAGTTGGTGGTTTTAATTTCTGCATGTCTTCTTCAGCATTGTTGAAAGCATCGCTTTCCAGCCTCAGTGTTTGTGAAGCCCCATTGTTTATTATTTGTAAATTTCTCCCATTTGTGTGTTGTTATTTTTGGTGGTGTTCTTTGGAACAGCTTTTAATTTTGAGGTCAGGTTCATTTATTTATTTATTTTGAAGAAAAATTTAAGAAACTACAATATAATCTGAGTTATATGAGTATGTTTTCTTGCAGATGTTTTATACATTGGACCCTTATGTTAGGTTTATGATCAGCTTTGAGTTCTTCCTGCTAGGGGTGCCAGGGAGGGGAGGGCTGTCCCTTTGTTCTTTGCTCATGGAGATCAGGCTGGCTGTATGAGCCCCTTTCATTATAAAGGCTGTTCTTTATGGGAAACATAGTGACCATGAGCTTGACAGTTCATGCAGGGACTCTTCCTACCCTTCAGTCTGTCTCCCTGGAGTACCAGTCGCTCACAGTATTGATTATAGCACTGTAGTTTCATAGTTTGTGAGGCTCTTACCTTTATTTATTTTTTTATGGTTTATTTTTATTGGAAAGGCAGATTTACAGAGAGAAGGAAATCTTCCATCCACTGGTTCACTCCCCAAGTGCCGCAACGACCAGAGCTGGGCTGATTGGAAGCCAGGAACTTCCTCTGGTCTCCCACACGGGTGCAGAGTCCCAGGGAGTTGGGCCGTCTTACACTGCTTTCCCAGGCCACAGGCAGGGAGCTGGTTGGGAAGTGGAGCAGCTGGGATTAGAACCGTCACCCATATAGGATCCCAGGGCATTCAAGGTGAGAACCTTAACCGCTACGCTATGGCGCCGGGCCCAAAATCATTGTTTTTTTTTTTTCTTAAGGTGTATTCATTTACTTATTTGAAAGGCAGAGAGAAATCCAGCTCTCATTTTTCCCATCTACTGGTTCATTCCCACATGGCTCCAACAGCTGGGCTGCGGGCCAGAAGTGCCATCCAGCTCTCCTGCATCGATGGCTGGGCCCAAGTGCTTAGACTGTCATACTCTGCTTTCCCAGGCACATTAGCAAGAAACTGGATTAGAAGTAGATCAGATAACGGCTCAAATTGACACTCCTATATGGGATGCCATCATTTCCATTGGCAGTTTTACCCACTGCATCCCAACCCTACCCCCTGCTATATCAGGAAATGTCTGATTTTCAAAAATGCAGCAGTCTCATTTGCTTCTGAATTTGTGTTATTTTAATGAAATACAAGAGGAAAATCCAGCTTCACACAGGTGTGTGGCTAGAAGGGGGTAGAATATTTTAATAGCTTTTCGGAAAAATAGATGTCCTTTGATTCTCCCTGAAACTCCATCATGAGTTAATAGTTTTTAAGATTTTCATTTCTTGGGCCCAGTGTTTTGGTAGAGCAGGGTAAGCTGCTGCCTACACCAGCGCCTCATATCACAGCACTGGCTCAAGCCCTGGCTGCTCTGCTTCTGATACAACTCTGCTGATGCATCTGGGAAAGCAGAAGCAGGTGGCCCAAATATTTGATCCCCTTGCCATCACTTGGGACACCAGATGGAGTTCCTGGCTCTTGGGTTCATTCTGGCTCCATCCTGGCCGATGTAACGGTTAGGAGAATAAACCAGTGAATAAGAGATGTTTCTCTCTGCATTTGAGATAAATATTCAAGTTTGTTTATTTACGCTACTAGAGAGGTAGAGATGCCCAGTCCCTGGGTGTCCACAGCAGCCGGGGCTGGGCTGGGCTG